AAAACATGAAAAAGAATATAAATTATACAGTAACGAATTATTAATATATTTTCAAAATTAAAGTTCATAAATTTTTCAACAATTTTTATATATCTTATTGAATCATTATTGAAGAAATTTTCCAACGATTATATATTTATAAATATATATGAATAATGAATAATAATATTAGTAATTTGAGTTTGAAAAGTTTTTTTTCCGAAAACACAAAATGTATAAAATGTATAATCTGGCCTTAACAAAAATAAAGAATAAAACGATGATTAATAAAATCTATTAACATTTATTGAATATATTATACAATTATAATATTTAATTATAATATTCCCAGATTATTATTCTTCTTGATGAAATAAAATCAGACAGATTAATTGCATTACATTCATATCAGTTTTTTTGAACACGATGAAATGTAATTTAATGTAATTTAGATAAAATCGTTGAATTAATTTCAATTTTCGTGAGAAATTTGATTTATAATTATAATATTTTAATTTTTAATTAATCACGCAAGTACATTCATCAACAAATTTATTCAATCTATTCAATCGAATTTTTAAAATAGCACGAAGCGAAATCGTTAATAAAATGATTATAAATAGATACAAATTATATATTTTTTTTATATATCGCGTCATCTCAATCTAAATCTATCAATGTTAAATAAATAATGCATTTTCTCGTTTCTTGTATACCTCATTTACCTTTTCTCTCATGTATAAATTTGTACATAGAGTGTTTCTAAATCTACGATATCTTTTCTTCACGAAGATTTTTTTAAGTTACCGTTTAATTTTTTTTTTTTTTATAAATTTCAATGAAAATTTCATTGATTCTCGATCGAAATTGAAAAAAAGAAAATTAATTTGATAAAAACTGAGAGAAATTGCGATTAAAAGAATTTTCCATTTAATCCTTCCTATTAGTTATTTTCACAAATTGGAATTACGGCAAAAATAGGGATCGTTTTAACTCTTCAAATTGAATTCCAACGAGTTTAAAATTTGCAATATGTCGTTGTACTTAAATTGATATAGTTTAATAAAGAAAATATTGTATTAAATTCTAAGAAAAAATAGAATCACTTTTTTATCCCTTCAAATGTGATCAAATCAACATTCATGATATTCACATTAATAAAACATAAGATTGTAGGGGAAAAAAAACGTATTCAAGAAATTAAAGAATATTTTAAAATAATTACAAATAAAAAACTAAAAATATCTTGGAAATATAATTATAATTCTAAATGTTTTCTATAATCATAATTCTAATCTTATTTCAGAAAGATATAAATAAAAATAAACTATATATATTGATTTAATAAATTATTAAATTATTATTATTTATAAGGATGGATAAATTAATGATGAATTATGAACAGAAGATTTAATTGTACTAAGTATTTCAAAACTAAACATAGAAGTATCTATGCAACTTTTTAATATTATATATGTGAAAATTAATAAAAAAACTTGCTTAATAAAGGTAAATGAAATGAATATATCTTGAAAAATATCATTTGTAAATATTTAGATATCTACCTATGCATTAATTATAAAAAAAAAAATGATATTCTTTGTCATCAAGACTATATAATTCATATAATACACCTGATGATTGTTCATTGACTATTTATTTAATAATTGAAAATTATGTAAAAATTTCAAAAATATAAAAACAAAGTCTTTTCTTGAGATCTATAATTTCGCGAAATTATTGTTATTGAATGAAAGTTAGCATTAACCGCATAATAGCTGAGCGAGAACTTTATAAGTTTCTCAATCTAGATCAAACAAAAAAGTTTCGCGCTATAATCGCCGAATGCAGTGGTCGATTCGAAGGAAGAGGAATAAACTTATTCGGAAAGCTGCAGTTCGTATTTAATATTCTAACAAGATACCACTTTGAAATGAATTTAAATGGTTTGCATCAATTCCATCAATGGTTTGCATCACTTGAAAGTTATTCTATAAAATATGAAAACGCAAACTTATTCATCGAATCTTTAGTGTTTAAATTTACAGGTTTAAGAGACAATTCTTTCAGAAAAAAAAATCTTTCATTTTATAATATCATATTAAAATTGATGGATAAGTTTTTCTATGCAATTTTTCTGTTTAATTGAACATATAAGATAATCTGTTTAAATTAAACTCACTTCTTAAATGAAAATAGTTTTCCATAATAATCCTTTAAATCTATCTAATTTAGTATTTTAATATTTCATTTTTATCAAATCCTAGTATCCTAGTATACTTTAAGAAAGAAGTTTTTTAATTTTAAATCTTAAAAAGTTTTTTTATCTTTCTATTCACTTTTATCTTCCTTATATCTATTTCTCATCAAAATATTAAATAATAAAATGAAATACGAATGTTAACAAGAAATTCATCAAGCGGAAATAATTTTTTCATGTTTGTAATTCATAGTACCGCCTTGGATATTTTATTTCCATTCGAGTCACAATTGATCATGGACAAAATGTAAAAACTCTTGTCGAGGTTGCAGAAACGCACCACTTAAGCGTGAATTACACAAATCGCAGTCTCATTTAGACTGGTGAATAAGAAGAAAGTGTTCGGCATTGTGCTCTGAGGTGAGTTTACCTTTGTATTTATTTTATTGAATACAAAGGTTGTATCTCGTATCATCATTTAAAATGATAACTTTTGCAATTTTAGAATCTTGTAATTTTAATTAATTTTAAAAAATTTTTTTCAAAATTTTAAAAAAACATTGATGATAACAAAATACTTGTATTTAAAAATACTTGTATTTTTAACGTATTTTATTTTTTAAAAAAAAATAAGATTTTTTATTTCTTTTACATTTCCGTATTTCGTCTCATCTATGAAGCTTCTTCGATAAAATATTACATTCAATATGTTATAATATATGCGAAATATTTTCAAAGAGTCAATTCTAAAATTACAATTACAAATACAGCAAGAATTCTAACTACAAACATAAAAAAAATTGATATACAAAAAATATCATTTGAAGCTTATTTGTTAAAGTTATAAGCAATTTAAGTTCGCGTTAGATTAACTGAAATAGTTCTATTTTCATCATATCGTTCTGTCATTCTATCTCTATCTCATTTTATCTAAGGCATAACTTATTATAAATTAAGAAAGTTAGCTCGAAATAATATGTTTATATATTTAATACATAATATGTTTATATGTTTGCATAATTGACTCTTTAAAAATGTTTCATAAATACATACATATATTTAGAATATATTTTTTAATATTCTAATCGTATGCTGTATATCGTATCCAATATAATATACATATCTAATATAATAACATGAACTTTGTAATTATTCTGAATAAATAAAGCATTATCTTATATTTAATAATTGCATATGTACATATAATATTCATAAATGTAAAAATATTAAATTTTTTATGTTATCCCTGTTTATTACTAATATGGCGGCAAAATATGCACATGCGCATAATCCTGAAATATCTTTGATGAAATTATACAAAAAAAATACTATTACTTTCACTCTTTTTTTTGTGAGAATTAATTACCTACTTTCTTAATCATTGCTCCATATCTATTTACAAAACATTTATTTTATTTATTACAGTATTTAAAACATTATAATAGCAATGCATTGCGTGTATATATATAAAATATAATATATTATTTAAGAAAATGAAAACAATTTATGCTATACGAAAATTAGTAAAATAAACAAAATAAACTACTATTATTCACTATTATTAAATTATCATAAAATTTACCTTAATAAATTATCTCATATAATTCGATATTCTCTGCCACAATATAATATGAATTATATACTATATATATAAATATTTAATATGACAATTTTATATTTCACTTTAACAAAAGTTTCAGTAATAATTGATATTAACTTTTATACTAATTTTATTTATTATTTTTCATTAATATATATTTTATTTCGTTAATATAATATTAACGAGCGATTATATACTACGTGTAATGTTAAGAATATGAAATTTTTGGTACTATGCGATTATCGCAATAACTCTCGAATCGATGAAAGACGAAAACAATCGATTATGAGCAGAGTGAAATTAGTCAGATTTACACGACTCAACATTTGTTCGCGATTAGTGAGATTCAGATTATTATTTATAATGCTATCTAACAAAAATTTTATACATTATAAAAATGTTATTCAAAATAAATTTGCATTATTTACATTAAAAAAATTACGGAACGTAAAACGATCTTTCTATAGAAAGCAACACTTTCGAACTTCGTTTTTCATTTATGTGTTTATTTCAAATAAATCACTGTCTAGTAAAAATGTATTTTACGTTCATTTTACATTTGTAAGTAACTTTTTTTCACCTTTCACGAAAGTAAAAGTACAATATT